CTGGCTACAACATAAACTAGGAAGCAGATAAATGTACCTCGTATCCTAGTCTTCATTTCAAGAATCTCCAAGAGGCTGGTTTTCTCATATCCTCTATTTCCTCTCTGACCTACTTATTTATCATGAGTTTTACCCATTTCTCTTTACTTTTCAACTTACCCCTCACCTGTTATCCCCCTCTCCAATTTCATCAGGCCACAGAACATGGCATTTCAGGTCTTCAAGACTGGCTGAAGGCAATGGCAGCAGTTAGCTGATTCAGCGGGATCCTCAGGTGGAGGCCTCAGTGATGGCAAGAGAGACCCTCCAACATCAGAACTCCCAAAAGTTTTGCAGAGGAGAACTATAAACGATTTCAATTCAGTAAAAAGCAGGTCAACATGGAACTGTGAGGAAACAAGTCCCTGTGTTTGTTGCTGATGACAATATAAAGTTTCTGAGGAAAGCAATATTTTCAGCTATTTGTTATAAATATTTGTCATACTATTTCATTCACTAATGTCCTCTTTGGAAAACATAACCTCCAAATACAACAATAATGATGACAAATAGAAAAAGTGATCTTTGAACCATCTCAAATCCTCGATAACAAAAAATTAGCCTGTGTAATAGGACAGAAAACTATATCAGCATAAGTGTCAAGCCTGTCATTTCATTGACACTGACTTGTGTCTATGGAATAAAACTATGCTAGAAGCACAAAGTAGGGCATATGTAAGTATAGACACACTGCCAAGATCAAGGTCTGGAAAATCAAAGGTGATACAAATAGATTACAGTTGATTAGGATCTTGGCGGTTAAACCTTTTCATGTGAAGACTATTTCCTCAGGAAGTCATTCCTCTTTGAGATGAGTTGGAAACTATCAAATCTTAATAGAAGCTGATTGCCATTAACCCAAGCAACACCCTCTGAGTCTTGGTTTCCTTGTTCATCCAATAGGTGTCACATACCTAAGTCTCAGAAGACTAGATGAGATCAACAGTCTGAGTCCATCCTGTCTACTGGGAAGGGGTTTTGAATCCAGGTGGAAGCGTGTGGAAGAAAGGAAGCAACCTGGACTTTGCATTCTGCCTTACGTTTGTGTTACACCCCCACCGTACTTACTAACTTAACTCTTTTTGATCCTGAGTTTCTTCAACTGAAAATGGGCCTTTCTACCTTGCCAGGTCCTATTGTCATTCCCTTTTTCAGGGGATCTTCTGGATATAAGAATTGAAACTGGGTCTCCTGAATTGCAAGCAGATTCTTTACCACCAGAGAAGCCCAGCATATGTCAGAGGTTAGTAGAATACTCAGCACATAGTAGGTGCTCAATTAATATTAGCTCCCTTTCTTTTTGTTACCTCAAATCTGCAACCCTTTCAATCTCTCCTAATAAAATGAAAAAGGAAACCCTTTGAAACTGGAAAACAAGCAAGTTATGGCCAAAACTCAAAAAAGTGATCCTTTACTAGCTCATTACCAAGTCCCACAGTAAAAATAGTTTGTAAGTCTGAGGGGATGAGGTCTTGCTGTGCTGCTCTAGTTAACCAAAGGGCCACCAAACAGTTTCTGTGCGGAGGCCTGAAACTGCACAGGTTTCTGATTTGAGCCCTTCCCTGGCATCCTTAGTCTTAGGAGACAGAACAGTTTGCCTACAGGTTGAAAACAAAAAGCTTTCAAGTTGTGAGAGTATTCCCCAGAAACGAGCCTGTGACATTACTTGTGAATTGTGGAGTCCACGGGTAAACACACTAGAGACCACAATCTCTTCCTCAGAGGAATTTCCAACGGTACTAACGGTGGTAGTTGGTGAAACTGAAACCATCCCTATCAGAGAACTCCTCCAGCTTCCAGCTAGGTTCTGGGGAATATATCAGCTGAAAGTCAAGGAGAGGGAAAGAAGAGGTTATAGACTGTCTCAGAAAGGGAAAGAAGAGGTTATAGACTCTCTAAGACTCCTCTTAAGGCTGGAGTCTGTCTGCAACAACACCAGCACAGTGGAAGTAAAACATATGCTCCTTTGGAATTAAAGTCAGCCCCAAATAGCAAAGAGAACAGGATGCATGACCCTTGTTTGTAAACAAAGACCAAGATAAATGTCGGCTGCCAGACCTCAAAGGAAGGGATGACAGGCCACTTGCAGAGAGAAGCCACAGGCAGCAGAACGAGCCCTTTGGTCTCTCTGGTGGTCTCTGGCAGACCTTTCCAGAGGCATCACGGAAGAGCAGGGAAGCCAAAGGAGCCAGAAGGCCACCTGCCCCAGCACCCTCCTCACAGGTCTGTTTTTCTATCTTCTCTTAGTTAATGTTTAAGTGTTTATAAACTTGATCATCACTCACAGCATAGCTGTGGTTGAAGGTTTTGGAGTCTGGCACTCAGATGCGAATCTCCCAACAACAGGTAAATGGCTAAGCCTCAGTTTCCTTGTCTGTATCATGGGGATACCAGCATTCCCTACTTCATAGATGGTTGTAAAGAATAAATGAGAACATGTATGTTAAAAGGTCCATCTAGTCAAGGCTATGGGTTTTCCAGTGGTCATGTATGGATGTGATAGTTGGATGGTGAAGAAAGCTGAGCGTCGAAGAATTGATGTTTTTGAATTGTGGTGTTGGAGAAGATTCTTGAGAGTCCCTTGGACTGCAAGAAGATCCAAGCAGTCCATCCTAAAGGAGATCAGTCCTGGGTGTTCATTGGAAGGACTGATGTTGAAGCTGAAACTCCAATACTTTGGCCAC